GCTCGGTGCTGGCGGGGCGGAGCCCTACGCGCTCGTGGCACCGGTCGGGCTGCGGGTGCCCCCACCAGGGACCTGGCCTCACTCACCAGCCACACGGAACTGCCAAAATAAAAAACAGTTCAAACAACGTCCGAATAGTTTTGGTAACTTGTGTCTACATTAAACACGTATTAAGTAAAAACTGCGTTTTATAGGCGTATCCGCATTCTGAAATGTAACCATTTCTATTTTGTTAATGATGTCTAATAAGTGTATTTCAAATATCTCACAGACTGAGCACCTGAAAGAGCCACACGGAACTGCCAAAATAAAAAACAGTTCAAACAACGTCCGAATAGTTTTGGTAACTTGTGTCTACATTAAACACGTATTAAGTAAAAACTGCGTTTTATAGGCGTATCCGCATTCTGAAATGTAACCATTTCTATTTTGTTAATGATGTCTAATAAGTGTATTTCAAATATCTCACAGACTGAGCACCTGAAAGCGTCCATCTGGAGAGAGGAGAAAAGGAAGAAGAAAATGAAGAAAATATATAAAAAAAACCCAAGATTGGACAAAATGGTTGACTAATAATGCAAGTACTAGTCAGCGACAAAAGGTGAACATCAAAATATGTAACAGCAAATACAATTACTTGAAGCTGAAGATAAAGATCCTGAGATATAGGTGGAAGAAGAAACCAAAGCTTGTTTAAAAACAATTTGGACAGCAATAGAGATCAAGAATCTTTGCATCATCAACAGGAAAATACGATACAAAAATCAACCTGATATTACTCCAAATTTTAATTGCAGTGATTCCACATCCTGGCCCAACATAACATAAGATGTTGGCTTGTTGAGCATGGTCCTGATCAAAGGAAAGATGCTGATTTTCAAAATTCAGTGTCTGAAGATGGACAGTTAATATATTAAAAAACTCAGAAATCCCTCTTTTCCTTTTCTTGTATATTATTTGGAAACAGATGTCAAACATTGCTAATTCTAAAAAATGTTTTACAGACTGGAAACATAGTTTATATAGATTGGAAGAGCACAAATTCATCTGATAGGAAAAATTATTTAGAATGGAAATTATTAGAAAAAATGGTTAAATTGGTGGAAACATAGTAGGGATGTAATAGTGTTGTAGGAAACACTGGTGTAGTCAATCAGTATGCAAAAGCTTATAGGTTAATTCTGTAGACTACACACATTTCCCCTGCCCCCCCTCCTCCCCGTAAATTTTTTAGCAGGCTGGCCAGCAGCTTGGCTCAGTCCTGGCTTGTACCTACCTCTGCTGTATCTACATTTAAATTGTATTAGAAGCCGGGCAGGCAGTCCATCTCAGTTACGACTTGCACCAGGTCTGGGAGCTCCAACACCCCCTCTTTCC